CTGTTCCTGCTGCTGCTGCGGCTGCTGCTGCCGATCACGCGGCACTTGCTGAGACGCCTCTCGTGATCGGGAGCTGCGGCCTACACGTGCTGCTGCTGCTGCTGCTGCTGCTGCTGCTGGCTGCTGGGGCGGGTCGTCACGCTGCTGCTCGTCTGTAACAGTAGCTGCTGCTGTTTCTGCTGCTGTTGCTGCTGCTGCTTTGCAGGGCTGCAGCAGCTGTGCCACAGCACTGGACAAGCTGGGCTCCTGGGGTGCTTCTGCAGCTGTGTCTGCTGCTGCTGCTTGCTGCAGCAGCCCATCAGGCGTCTCTGCTGCTGCTGCTGCTTCTGCTGTCCCCGGGGCTCGCGGCTGCAGCAAACTGTCAGCAGCACCCATCTGCTGAAGCAGCGCAGCAGCAAGCAGCAGGTAAAGAGACTTTGCTGTTCCTCCGTAGCTAACGTAAGGCGAGCCCAGCCACTGCAGCCGCAAGTCCTGCTGCTGCTGCAGGCACTGCAGCGCTTCCTGTCGAGCAGCAGCAGCAGCAGTTGCAGCAGCGGGCACGGGAAGCGGCAGCAGCGGCAGCTCTGCTGCAGCTTCTGCAGCAAACTGCTGCACAGCAGCAGCACTGTGGGGCTGCAGCGGCAGCAGCACACACGGCTCCCAGGCCTCTCCTGCACTAGCGAAGTGCCTATACTTCTCAAAGTGAGTGACCTTGCTGCTGCTGCTGCTGCTGCTACTGCTGCTGCTGCTGCTGCTACTGCTGCTGCTGCTGCTGTGCCGCGAGCGGTGGCGGCGCTTCCCCTTCTCGCGGCGGTCTTTTCTGCTGCGGCGTCTCTGCTGCTGGTCCTGCAGCAGCTGTTGCTGGTCCTGCAGCAGCTGCTGCTGTACTCCTATGTAGCCAAATGCTGCAGCAGCAGCATCTGCTGCTTTCTCAAGATCCTCTGCCACGTCGGCGAGAGGCATGGTGTCTCCTTCTGTCTCTACGAGGGCGCCGCGCTGCTGCTGCTGCTGCTGCTGCTGCTGCGTCTGCGGGTCAGCAGCAGAAGCAGCAGCAGCCCGGGTCCTTGCTGCTGCCAGCGCAGCAGCAGCATGCGTGTGCAGCGGGCGGCAAATGAGCAGCTCCTCAGCCCGCTGCAGCACTTGCTGCTGCTGCAGCAGCGGGCCCAAAGCCCAGGCCCTAAACCCTAAATCGGTGTCTAGCACTGTTGTCCTGTCTGCTTCTGTAAGCATTGGCAGCTGCATGCTTCCTGCTGCTGCTGCTGCGTCTGCTGCTGCTGCAGCAGGAGACAGCAGCC